TATTACTTCTAAGTTTTAATATTATTACTTATTATTAAAAAATAAGTATTTACATATAAAAAAAAATAATTAAGAACAAAAAAAATTGTATTAAATTAATACTGATTTTGATTTTTAATATGTTAAAGGTAATCATTTTGAACCTATTTTTTATTGTCTTTTAAAGTGAAAGTTTTAATGAAAAATACCTTCTCAGCTTCGCATCGAAGCTAAAAAATGAATTTGTTACCATAACTTATATTTCAACTTGCAAGTTTGAAATTGATATTATTAAATTGAAAAAAATGAAATTTTTAAGATTAATATGCAATCTGGAAATTTTATAATTACTANTTGTTAAGATTAATATGCAATCAGGAAATTTTATAAATACTATTTACAGTAAATTTCATCCATTGTTAAATTCAAGTGAAACTAAAAATCAATTTTTTTTTTAGATTTATGATTTATACAGTAACAATGTTGCTGCATCATGTTACGAAAAAATTTGGAATGTTATAGACTGGTAGTAGCACACACAAATAGAGTAAAAAAATTAATAAATTTCAAAGTAAAATTATATAATATCAAATCTAATTTGACAATATAATTTTAATTATTTGTATGGATAAATCTGGTTAAGCTACTTGTTATTTGATTAAGGAATTTTTTTTTCAATTTTTGAGGGTTATATCTTCATCTAAATAGGTATTTTAATCATNTATATTTTCATCTAAATACGTATTTTAATCATTGATATTTGTATACATACTTACTTTATGGACAAAATAATAACCTCATGCATGTAAAAGTTATTTATTTATTTATTTTTTTTGAAGTTTCAACTTAAATATTCATACCGTTTTCCGAAATATCATCTTGAATTTGTTCACAATTTTTTACTGGACACTTCGTAGAATCTTTGATTTCATTTAAACAATTTTTTCCAATGTAATGGTAACAATGCTTCATGATTTTTATCCCAATTTCGTCGTAGCAGTTTTGGCAAAAATTTTTTATTGGTTCTAAAATTGATTTTACATAAGTTTTAATAATAATAATATCATTTAAAAATTTTATTTTATAAAAGAAACCCTATAAAAAATTCTTTGAATTCATTGGAATAATACAAAAACACATTAGTTTTTTGATGTTTACTAATCCTAACAATAAGTATATAAACTATTTACTTTACTATAGACTTTTTTATTATGATAATAATAAAAATAAATTACAGAAATTAGTACAAACATTTTGATATAAAAACACTTTAATTCATAGGCCGTTAGATGCACGGAATAGCTCATACTGATGCCTATTTATAATGCATATATTTTTTTGTGAATTTTTTTTTATAAGTTTTATATTATATTTTATGAGATGATGCATATATATCATTAGTACAATCTGGTGACGTAGTGAATTCTATTCCGGTGTGTCCCGACGTCTTGCAAGCTAAGTCTAACTGTTTAAAACCAGTCGCTTACTTGGGACGTATCCCCGCCGTGCTTAGCGGTAATGCCGCGATTAATAGCCGGTTGGTATCAAAAGACGTTCATCGTATTCTATAATAATAAAAGTGTAGGTGTAACTAATATTTTTTATTAATATCTGTTTTTTTTCTTTCTCTCTGTTCCTCTTTAATTTGTAGACGAGGTTTTTTGCCTCGTATTAACTTAAGTTTTTTTTTGTTTTTTTAATCAAGTCCCCTTAATTTAACTCAACTATCATCTTATTTTTTTTTGCGAAGATGGAACTTCAATGGACTCATTTATTTTTAAAAATTTTTTTTTCTTTTTAAAAATCAACTCCCCTTAGTTTATAAGGTACAAGCAACGGCCTTGTATAAAGTCATCCCTCATCATTATGGTTATGTGACAACTATCACGAGGTTTTGGTGTACATCTACTATCAACGACTCAACGGACATCGTCTTCAATCTATAATACTTTTCTATTTTTTTTTTTAATTGTTTTTAATGTACAAAATTTAATTTCTTTTTAAAATCCTTCTGTGGTCCGACAATACATTGTCTCGCCCAGTGGGTCGCCAACCCCACTGGATTTTATTTTTAATTTTTCAATGCGCCATGAAAGTTACAAATTTTTCCTTGTGGTTAATTAATTTGATTTTTTTTTTTATAATATTTGTAACCTTTCAGTAGTCTACGAATGATTAGTTTTTTTTTAAGATTAGGGCTAAATGTTACTTGTACAAATAATTGCAGGAGTTAATTAGACCTGTTCCGCTCTATACACAGTGTGATTTATTAGGTATACTGCCCAATATTTTTTCTTTAAATAGATATTTTTTGAAAAAAATGTATTGATTAAAATTTAACTGAATATGACAGAATAGTATAATGGAAGTCCCAACTAAAAATATAGTTAAAAAAAAAACTAAAACAACACATTTTTAAAGCACATTGAACTAAAAAGTTAAAAATAATTTTTAAAATAAGCTTAAAACAATAATGAACGAAAACTACTAGTATTATTGTGATAAAAACGTCGGGCACTTAGTACCGTAAATATAAACCGTATACGAAAAATATGGCACAAAGCACCTACGCTTTTATCACAATAATACAAGTATTTGTTATTCATAATTATTTTAAAAATTATTTTTAACTTTTTAGTTCGATGTGCTTTAAAAGCGTGTTTTTTTAGTTTTTTAAACTATATTTATTTTTCACTTATAGCTTCGATGCGAAGCTGAGAATGTATTGGTTTTACTAAGATGTGTTTTTTTTTTTTTTGTGTCTGTTACCACTTTTTCTCAGCTCTCACCGAACCCATTTCTTTCAATGATACGTCAAAAGATCACAAATCGTATCTAGTCAAAGACATTACCCTCAAAAATTGAAAAAAATACTCTCGTTCCCCGTAAATGGGGGAAACCTCCAAATAAATTACAAATTTAAAAATCGTTAATTTGAGATATTTGTTCAATTTTTTTTACTTAAAAGTGCCATAACTTTTTTAAAAATGAACATATCAATATAACTCTTTTTTATATAGATGCATAATATTATTACCTTTTATTTGGTATATTTTTTGTAAATTTGACACTTAACCTGCCCACGGGGGAGGATTTAAAATGACAACTTTTTCACAAAAAATTAATTTTTTCAACTTGTTTTTTGAAAATGTTCCGGAAGGTCTGACACTTTTATATATATCTTAAATTAAAGCTATTGTAATATACTTTATCATGAAAAAAAAATTTTTCGGACTTTATTTTATCTTCACGGTGAAAATGGCTACCAAATGCTATTTTTGTGTGAAAATTTTCGATTTTGTATTTTACATTTTTAACTTTATTATGCTATAACTTTTTGAAAAATGTATGGATCAGTACAATTTTTTCATGAAGAGTAGTATTTATATACATCTTTCATTTGACATACTGTTTTTTTAAATCGAACCATTTCCCTATATACGACATACTTTATCTGAATCAGGATATTAATAACGAACTAGCAGATCATGTTGCTTTTGGTATAATCCACCAATTTTTTAAAATTAAACACTATCTAAAGATTTACATCGAAGCGTTTTATTTTGATAGTTATTTTAATCATTGTCAGATATCATTATAATTGATCCAACTATGCCATGACCCCCCTGTGCTGGGTTTTTTAATTTTATTTTATGATAGTAGTTACTATCAATATAATGGTTGTAACGGGTAACGGGAAATCAGGGTTCGATTCCGGAGAGTGAGTGAGAAACAGCTACCATATCTAAGGAAAGCAGCAAGCTCGCAATTTACCCACTCCCGGAACGTGGAGGTAGTGACGAAAAATGACGATACGAGAATTATCCCCCGTAATCGGAATGAATACACTTGATATCTCTTAATGAGTATAAAGCGTGTTAATATATAAATTTTAATAGCAATTAGACTTAAGTGACTTAAGTACGTAAACGTATCATGCACGAGGTATAGCCGTGTTTTGTGAGCGGGCGTGGCGGGGGGAACGTTATACGCGAGGGATATACAGAGGCAGCGGTGGTAGGAATATATAAATTTATATATACATAAGGTGTATGGCACGCGGCCAGTATTGGTCAATCAAAAAAAAAATACTCATAGTAGGCGACGGCTGATAAAGGTGACACGAATGGCGAAGCCGTGTCACAGTAAAAATTTGTTTAATATACACATATAATATAATTATACAGGAAAATATTGTTGTTGGTGAGTGGTGAGCAGGATGGGGTCAATGCGTAACAACAGTTTAGTCTCAAGGCCATAGACGACAGGATACGCAAGAATAATAACACGTGGCGCGATGAAAGTTACAAACAAACAACATACATATGAAACTAATATAAGCGTGTTAAAAATAAAATACAATGCACGGACTTGAATCAAATAGTTTCTAAAAGTAGTGATACTAATCACTGGTAGATTTCAGTACTGTACTGGCACCCATTTATTCTGCCAACTCTGCTATTGACACAACTTACGTCGCAATAATGTAGTCGACACTGTTTTTGAGAGGGTAGAGACCCGTGGGCCGTTTATTAATGAGCATCAACAGGTTATTTAAAAAAACAAACAAACCGAAAAGACGAACATAGTTGTTGTGTTATCACGTTGCGTTGTCGCAACTAACTTGTACGAGATATAGTTTAATAATGACTCTCAGACCTCACACACGTGTTTTTAATAATTAATATTATTTTATTCTCGTTTAATATTATTCTATTATCGTCACTAATAAAAGACGAAACAATAGTTAATACTAGTTATTATAGATTAGTGCCCCATAATAGCGCGTCACTTTCGCTGGTGTCTATTACGCGGTGTCCGGCATGATCCTTGGGGGTCGAAAAGTTAGCAGTGTTGATGAATACGGTGCACGGGTGTAGATCGGTTCGCCGAGTCCCGGTCAAGTGGCGCGTCCGGAACCAATGGCATACATCCTCTACGTTGTCACTTTGACAACGGGAAGACACTTAACGTATCATTTGCGGCGGGTCGTCGTCGGCTGTGCGGCTCTTGTTGGACTTTGCACTATGGCGTATGGCACGCGGTGTTGGTCAGTCAAACAAAAATATTCATAGTAGGGCGACGGCTGATAAAGGAGGCACGAGTCCCGAGGCATCACGTGTATTGCGAAGCAACGCGAGACCGTATCAGCATATTTCGACAGTTTTACAAAAAATATAATAATAACAATTTTAATAAATTGTTTTCATACCACTTCCTTTAAAACATGTGACTACACTTTGACATTGTGGACATCTCGCCGTTTGTGAAAGTTTTTGTTCATAGGCACAAGCATTACCCACTTTATGATAACAGGGAATTATTGTTATTGTTGATGCTTCTTCTTTGCAAATATAACATAAACCGTTATCATCTGTAATAAAAAAAATGTATACGAGTTATNAGGGAATTATTGTTATTGTTGATGCTTCTTCTTTGCAAATATAACATAAACCGTTATCATCTGTAATAAAAAAAATGTATATGAGTTATTTCTTTATCATAACACACTCAATTATTCACTTTTTTTTAGTTACCTTTAGTTACTAATTATTCTTAAATTATTAGCTATGTATGCCATATAAGAATTATCCCTTAACAACTACGAAAAACAATATTTTACATTTTCTAAGAATTATTTTGTTTAAATCCCAATTTATCCCAATTTGAATTAAAAAAATAAAGTTTAAGGTTTTATTCCAACAATAAAATACATTTTTATGTATAACATAACTGTATTAAATCAATACATACGTGTTTAGCTTTGATAATGGCACAATTATTATTAAAACACGTATCCGTATTTTAGTAGTTGTTTGTGGTTTTTTGATTTTAAATTACTATAAATAATAATAATTATTATTATAAAATTGTTTTGTTTAAGTTATGTGTATTTCTTGGTTTGTCAACTGATAATTATTTATAATATTATCCCTTATAACTTAAAGGGGTGTCATATTAATTTTTTTAATGGCAGTATACAAATATAATGAACATAAAGCAATTTAGAATTTATAAACAAATTTAATGAAATGACTGAGGTAAGAAGTGAGTGCTGATATTTTTATCGCTAGTCATTTCCCAGCCAAACTCTTCATCACGTCCAAGTACAATAATGAAAATAACTTCCAAAGTACTAGTTTAAAAGTTGTTATTAACCAGTCATTTTCTTATTTAAATTATTTACCATTTTATAGGCTAGTATAATATGTATGTTGTCATATAAAAAAATTTATTTGACGCCCTTTTAAGTAAAAAGGGACGATTCAAAAAAAAAATTATTATCTGATAAATCTAGAAATATATGTAAATAAAAATATGCAAATATTTTTTCAGTGATGTGTTTATTTGTCGAGTAATCGAGGTGTTTATGATAAATCGATCAACCTATATAAGAAAAATTGTTTAATTGTGGCTAATATTATTTAAAATCAATATAACATTAAAATATTGAAAGTAAAAATGTTTAACACAAAAATTTACTAAAAAATCGCGAATACATATTTTGGTAACAATGTTAACATTATCAACGCTTAACACATAGTAAACACGTATGTGTTTATTTAATAAAGTTATGTTAAACATTAAAATGTAATTGAATTTTAAAATAAAATTTTAAACATTTTTTGAATTCAAAATATGTATTCCCATTTGAAAAAATAAAGTTGATAATCTTACAAGACATAAGGGATGATCTTAAAAAATATTACATAGCTAATAATTCATGAAAACTTTGTAGCTAAAGGTAATCAAAATTTAATTTTTTTATGTACAATCAAAAATATTTAAATTAAATTATTCAATGCATTTTAAATGACATTACTATAATTTTCGAAAATATAAGGCTAAATTTTAATATAAAATATAATTTATTATATTTTATTTATTATAATAATAATATATATTATTTAATTTAAAATTTTATATATATAATATTTATTATGGTTTAATATATATATTAATTAAATTTATAGCTATTATATTTATTTATATTTGTGTATGACGCTACTCTACTCGGACGAACACTTAACGAGTTAAATCTCGTTTTTGCTGGTTCTTTATATAAAATAACTAAAGATAATAAATTAAATATTAAAACTAAATAAAGGATGTTCAAATAAAATGTTATGAACTGTATGACTATTTTGGGTTTTATCGCTATTATTTAATTATAAATAAATGAATTAATGATCATAAACTAATCAGTACAATATTTACAATTATAATAACACTGTGCTTCTATAGACATTGAACTAATGGCAGGTAGGAATCCATCAAACAGCAACTTGGCCAAACATTACAAACGTTCTCTGTACAATTACCTACAATTAAATATACAATTGAGTCCGACGCAATCAACTGTGTTCACTTATAACTTTATATCACTTTAAAAAATAAGAACAAAAACCGTTACGCACACTATATAAATAAAAAACACGCAAAAAAAACCAACAGCAACATGTCTCTCAAGACGCCACATGACACAAACAATGTACGTAATTTTACTGCAGTTACGCACATCTGAAGTATACGAGAACGCGAGTAGGAGTGGCCATTAGTGACCACCGCGCACACACACTACCACAACGGTAAAACCGGTTGGGACAGGTCGCGCTCATGACGATGAAAAACCGAAACTCGCCGCACTATCACATTTTTTGAACGACTGAACAATATTATATATATTTTAATTATTTATTTTTATAAATAAATATAATATCTATAAAATTTAATTAATTATATACATTAATAATGAAAAACAAAATAATTATAGATATTTGTTATTAATATAAATTATTTATTTACTTATAAACATAATTAAGAATAAATAAAAATATTTTATACATATATATATATTTCATTTTAGTTTTAAAATTTAAATTTTGTCATTTAAAGTGTATTATCTAATTTAAAATGTATTTTTTTAGAATTTGAGTAATTAAATTGTTTATATATTTTTTGACGATTTTTTTTTAATTCGCATCAAGTGAATTAATTTAACATATATTAAGTTGTATGCATTAGTAATAAACTGTTATTATGTTTAATTAATATATTAATAAAAAATAAATAATTTAATATTAAAAATCAATTTCTATGAATTTTAAATTCAAACTATTCATTTATAATATTACAATAAATTGAAAAACAATCTTAGAACGTAAACGTTTATCATAATATGATAAACATGTACATAATATGTACATGTTTATTAAACTTATAATACAGATAAGTTTTACCTTGTCAGTGTTTATACGTTCATCGAACAATACGATACGTTTGACACGATTATTGCGCATCACTTTCGGTCACACGTTCGACTGATATATTTGGCCGTCTTTTATACGTCAAAAGGATTCTATTATGAATACGATCAAAATTATTTTGTTATATTATACGTTCATTAATACAGCCAAAAATTACGACCAACAGTGATGCCAATCGTGATGAGCAATAATCTTTTTTACTTAACCCTCTGTAAAGAAATTTCACTCAAAAAATTATTTAGGGTATTCAGTAAGTAAAAAAACGTGTTTTTTTTGTTCTCGTTGTTATAAACAAATGACCTGTTTCTTTAGTGAATAATCTGCATATAACGCTGTAAAAAAATAATTCAATGTTCTAAATTGAAGTAATAAACGCACTAATAATGTGGTAATATTCTATGTTTCTTTTGCATGATGGAACCAGACATTTAGACTTATTTTTAAAATCAGCATCGTAAGCACATGTTGCACACAATCGGTGTAAACAAGGGTCTAAAAATACTACCGGCTTTGATTTGTTACAAACTTCACATTTTTCATCATAAACTATAACAAAATATTTTATATAATTACTATTATTATTATTTATAATAAGGTTAACTAATAGCAAATATATTTATAATGCCAATTCTGAAATTAGACAACATAAAAAATGCTAATCCAAAAACGATTAATAAAATTCGATACATTAAACTAGACTTAGAATTTAAGTATATTCCATGTAAGTATATTTGTCAGCTGTATATAATTGTGTGTACTTCCTTATTATTATTCATAAATGGTTATTTTTAAAATTATTAACATCTCATAAAATTAGTTTTCTTTTTAGCTTTAATATGAAACTGAGAAGATGATTATTTTATGTGTTTATTTTAATAGATTTTTAATTTTGTTGCTACTTTTTCTCAGCTTTTGACAAACTTTAGCTATCAGGGAAAAAAACTAAAATTCAATATTTTTAAATAGAGACTTCTATTATTAACTTGATAATATAATAGAAAATTACATTTTCAAACAATGATGTTAATCATAGTATACATAGTGTTCAGTAAATGTGGAAACAGGTCAATTGTTGCACATAATGAGAACAAGAGAAATCCGTTTTCTTGCTTATTGAACGCTCTATATAATATTTCCTCCTAAGACCAGTATTATGTAGGACCCTGTGGAATTGCTCTTTACTTTAGGCATTACTTTAGGACAACTTTCAGATACATTGTATATGCTATGCTGTAACCCTAATTTGCTTAATGTTTTTAGCGATGATAACTATTGACTGAAAATAAGTGAGATGAGTAGTTTATATTTATAATGTTATTCTTATAAAAGTATGAACACTCTATTATTTGAAATATGTTTACCTTCACGAAATAAGGCTGGCGCATTTAAAACTGCTACGACTAAAAGAAAAAATACATTCAATAAAAATGTGAAATGATAATGAATTTATGAAAGTTACTACATAGGTCAGCTGGGCAACAGCTCACGCCGTGCTGCATAAAAACGAAGGTTCGACCCCGTTTTGCTAGGCTATGTAGATTTTTTCATATTCTCTACGACGAAGTATTTATTTTAAGACTAGACGTAATATTTTTACTGAAGTAAAATTAATAGTAATTATAGTAACTCAAAATAAAATACTGTATATTAGTAATTTGATTGGGTGGTTTTGTATAAGAATGAGAATTATTGAAATATTATGTGTTTATTTAATAAAATAATAAATATAATTTTTTTATCTTCGATGCAAAGCTGAGAAAGTATTAATTTTACTATGATGCGTTTTTTATTTTTGTCTTTTGTCACTTTTTTTCTGCTCTCACCGAACCGATTAATTTAAACAATTCATCAAAAGATCACAAATCGTATCCAGTCGAAGATATTACCAACAAAAATTAAAAAAATATCCTTCGTTTCCCGTAAATGGGGTAAATCTCCAAAAAAATTAGAAATTAAATAAAAAAAAATAAATAAATAAAAATCGATTATGTTTTATATTTTTTCAATTTTTTTTTACTAAGAACAGCCATAACTTGTTTAAAAATGACCAAATCAATATTAATTTTTTTTTATGCATTTCATTATCATTTTACAAAATTGTTTTATAAATTTGATTCTTTAGCTGTCCATAAGGGGGGACTTTATTTTGTTTTCACGGTGAAAATGACTACCGTATGCTATTTTTGTGTTAAAATTCACGATTTCATATTTTACATTTTTAACTTAATATTTCCATAACATTTTAGAAAATGTATGGATCAATAGAATTTTTTTTAAGAGAAATAGTATTTATATACGTCTTTTATGCGACATACTTTTTGTTTAAATCAGACCATTACTCTTTATACAACAGGGGTCAAAACTTTAAATATGCGTATTGAAAGTTGCAATTTTTCAATTTAATTTTTGAAAGAGTTTTGGAATTGCTGAGAATTCTATATACATCTTAAATTAAGGCTTATGTAATATACTTTAATATGAAAACAAATTTGGAATTTAATTTATTTTTCATGTTGAAAACGGGCGTCAATGTTAATAAAAAAAATTATCTTTTATATTTTTAATCTTATAATGCTATAACTTTTTGAAAAAATGATGGATCNTAAAGATTTGCATCGAAGCGTTTATTTTTGATAGTGATTTTAATCACTGTCATATATCATTATACTAGATCCAACTATACCACGTCACAACTGTGCCGCGACCCCCCTGTGCTGGGTTTTTTTTAATCTTATAATGCTATAACTTTTTGAAAAAATGATGGATTATTACAATTTTTTAATATAAGTACTATTAATAATATACGTCTTTATGCGATATCCTTTTTTTTTTAATTCGGACCATTTCCCTTTATACAAGGGTGGTTCAAAACTTAAAAATGCGTATTGAAAGTAGAACTTTTTCAACTTATTTTTAATTAAACTATATTTATTGATTATTCATACGAAACCTAATTATCAAAATATAAATATTTGTTATATTAATTAGAAGGATTTTGTTATTATTTATGCCATATGAGAAACTGTAATTGGAGATTTAAAATCGGCGCAAAAATTGGTTTAGAAAACTATATTTTTATCAAAATTCCTCGTAGTTTAGTAAATTTATTTATAAATAACAAATCATTTTTTTTTTATGTATTGCAATTTCTCTGTAAAAATTACAATACTAAATCATTTAATAAAAATTTCATTCTGTAGTTAATTGCTATAATAAATATTTATTCATATATTACACTTGTAAATCATAAAACTTGTAATCGTGATATAAATAAAAAAATAGAAGATCATGTTGTTTTTGGAATAATCCACAAATTTTTTAAAATTAAACACTATCTACAGATTTGTATGAAGCGTTTTTTATGATGGTGATATTAACCGCAGTCAGATATCATTATACTTGACCCAACTATGCCACATCACATTGTGCCGCAACTCCACTGTGTTGGGTTTCTTTATAGAACAATGTGATATTTGAAATTGTATTATTATAGTAATAGTTTATAATAATGATTAATTTGCACACTGTAGTATTTTGTATTGAACACACAGGCAACCCACTCAAATATTCAACTAGGCTGGTTAAATTTGTACAAACGTTATTGATTTTATTTATTTAAACAATATTTTATTTCAGTGATCACTTAATTTTGAATACACTTATATTAGTTTCACCGCATGTTTGTTTCTATCTCTCCACGCACCACGTGTTATTTATTCTCGCGTATCCCGCGTCTATGGCCTTGACACTATACTGTCGTAACGCATTCACCCCACCCCGCTCACCACACACACAGAAAACACTATTTTAGTACAATTTTATTTTTGGTTTTCGTACCCGTACACGCGTACGTGTCATCAATATTATATATAGAAATATAAACAAATTTTTATTGTGACACGGCCCCACCACTCGGGCCACCTTTATCAGCCGTCGCCCTACTATGAATATTTTTGTTTGACTGACCAATACCCCGCGCCATACGCCACGGCGCAAAGTCTAGCAAGTGCCGCACGGCTGATGACGACCCGCCGCAAATGATACGTTGAAACTTCTTCCCGTTGTTAAAGTGACAACGGTGATGATGTACGCCACCGGCTCCTGATGTGGCGCACGACCAAACCGATCCGCATCCGCGTACCATCGCCATTAACGCTGCTAACTTTTCGACGTCCGAGGATCATGTCGGACACCACGTCGCCGAAGCCAACGAAAGTGCCGCGATATTATGAGAAGATTATTATTAACTGTGTTCGTCTTATCGATTTGTTTGTTTATTTTTAATAACCTGTTGTTATTCAAAAACTTTATTGTTCTTAATGATATTTTAACCTTTAACATACATACCGAGCTATTTATGTAAAAAAATATAGTTGAAAATAACTAAAAAAAACGTTTTCATAACATATGAAACTAAAAAGTTAAAAATAATTCTTAAAATAAGCTTAAAACAATAATAAACGAAAAATACTAGTATTATTGTGAAAAAAAGAGTGGGTGTTTTGAATTTTTCTTATTTGCCGTCAAAAAGTAATTTTCGAAGATAATTTAAAATGACTAGTTCACACAGCCTAATCTTTAACTGTCAATTATATTTTTTAATGTATTACTAAGCAGTATTTTAGTTATTAAAAAAATATTTAGGATGTTACCTTGAAAAGCTAAACAAAAATTAACTACAAAAATTGATTGATTCAGCAAAATCTAAAAATATAACAATATCATTGTTGATTTTTTAATTCATTGTTAAAATAAATGATCATTGAATTTAATGATAATTGGTTTTTTATGATTTCGATATTCGCAGATACGCAGCATTTATTATCAATAGTAGTAAGGCACATTGTTGTGAATTTTTAAATTCACTAACTTTCTATATAGTAGGCATATATATTGATAGTCATAATTGATAGTTAACACTCCATGAATGTGATAGCGACGTCATAAAAAAACAATTAGCTACCTGTATTTGTAATCTCTTGTGTATTATTCATGTAAATTAATTTAAAAAATTGAATCTTTAAATATTTATACCTAATAAACGCATAAAGTTATATTAAAATTGAATTGCCATTTACTATAAAATTAAAAAATTTAACATTTTATTATATTCAAAATATATGCTCCCATTTAAAAAAACAAAATTGACACCCTTACAAGGCGTAAGGGATAAACATTAAAAAGTATTACATAGCTGGTAATTCAAGAATAATGTGTAGCTAAAGATAATAATAAAAAATGTTTAAATTATATTTATTCTGTAAGTAATTGGGTTATGATAAAAAAAATTACTCTGTATATTTGTCAAATTAATTTTTCAAAATTTTTTATTTGTCAAAAATCTTACCATTTTGTATTAAAAATTTTCTCCGCTAATGAAGAATTAACTAATTATACTTGTATGTTACAAATATTAACACTTTAATTTAATTGACAGATATTCTAAGTAATTTAGTATATTTATATATGTTTACTAAATATTAGTGCTTAAAAATTAAATATATCTGTTCAAAATTTATAAGTTAAATAAATTTGTACAAATAATATTAATTATGTTTGGGCGTATCGCCATGTGTACAAATAAGAAATGGTATTATGCGTGTATAAAAATATGTATACATTATTTGTAATAAACGTCACCTTTTATAAAAATAATACACAGAAAAATGCATGAAAAAGGTAACGCCAATGTACAATGTGCAGACTAAGTTCAGAACACAAATACCTTGTGTACATATCATTTTATAGAATTAATATATAATTTCAGATAATGATTCGTTAGTGCATTACATTGTTATATATAATTTAATTATTATTTTCATGGAAATCTACATATATAATATGTATGATAAATTTTCAACAGAAATTAATCATAATGAGAGGTATATATATAATAACAAGTGCTAATATACATTTATTATATACTTAGGGTAAAATTCTACCACAAATGGCATTATATTTCAAAAAGTAATTCTGAAAACTTAAAAAAACTATGAAATCTCAAAATGATTCAAAGTACTATAAAAGGGATTTATGGAAAAACGGACGTGTTGGATAAAAAAATAATCTAAAAATCATTAATAATAATAATTAAAATTTGATTATTTTGTTTTCAAGAAGTAAATATAACCATACTAGTATAAAGCCATCGTTTTCGCTACAACCTACGATTGCTATCGTTGTGGTAGCATACGACCGACTCTGGTTCAGTTGTGTAAGAACATTTATTACTATGTTCTCATCACTTATATTACGCACGTTTTATTTCCATTTACTTAATTAGTAATACATATTAATTAATATAGAGGAAGATGTTGTAAGCTAAATAAATGTACACATACATTGTAGAAAAACCAAAAGTAATTTTCCATATTAGGTTCAAGTAACTGTGTAACATACACTGACACTCGTGTAAAGTTAACAAGCCACGTTCATTTTTACTCATATTTGAATGCTATGTAGCAAAATAAAAAAAAAACCCAGCACAGTGGGGACGTTGCATAGTTGGGTCCAGTATAGATTTAATCTGACACTGATTAAAATCACTAACATAAGAAACGCTTCGATGCAAATCTGTAGATAGTGTTTAATTCTAAAAAAAAGATGGATAATTACAAAAGTAAAATCAACTTCTATTTCCTTAATTATACCCAGATTAGTAATTCTTTTAATTATATATTATATAATTTTTTTAATTAATTGTTTTCAAATTATTATTGATTTTGATTTTTAATATGCTAAAAGTAATCATTTTTAACCTACTTTTTTTTCTTTTAAAGTAAAAGTTTTAATAAAAAAAAAAAAGATAAATTTATTACCATAACTTTTAGCTGAACTTGCAAGTTTGAAATTGACATTATTAAATAGAAAAAAATGAAATTGTTGAGATTAATATGCAATCAGGGAATTTTATAACTACTATTCGCGGTAAATTAATCAGAAAAGCTCAATTTTTTTTTAAATTTTTATCGTAATAGATCACTTAAATAGAAATCTTAGTAATCATTTCTAATTAACTTTTGGTATTTAAAAAGATTCTACAATGGACATATTCAGAATTTAATTAATTTTAATGATTATATATCTAAAAAAGTCAATAGAAAAAGGTTGTTAAAAAGATTTACTCGATTGAGCGTATTATAAAATTTGATTATAATTGTAAAAATCCAACGTTAAATTCAGGTGAAACTAAAAATCAATTTTTTTATAATTTATGACTTATATAGCAACATGTTACAAAATAATTTGGAATATTATAGACGGGTAGTAGCAAACACAAATAGAGTTAAAAAATTAATAAATTACAAAGTAAATTTATTTACTTTTATAGTTGAATACTTTTATCATATCAAATCTATTTCGACAATAAATACTTTAAAAACATTAGAAATCAATGATTTTAATTGTTTGTATAAAAAAACCTGATTAAGCTACTTTTTATTTGAATAAGGAATATTTTTTTGATTTTTAAGAGTAATAACTTAAACTATATACGAATTGTAATTATTTGACGTATCGTTGAAAAAAGTAGGTCTAGTGAGGGTTGGCAAAATAAATAGTAGCCACAAAAAGTACCACATAGTAAAATAATTAACATGAATATAAATTTCTTCTCATCAGGGGAGACTATAGTGATAGGATCTTTTATATTTATTGAAGTTATTGAATCTAAATGTTATAAATATCAAATAATTTGAAAATTTTATTCTACCTAAAAAAAATGCAAAATATTAATTGTTACAGACGGAGTTGAACCTCGTACCCTAATCGATTTAGACACAGGTGTTATCGATTTGGCAACTGTTCATTGCTTACGACTCATGATAAAATTTCCTATTTAAGCTAACTCAAATTTAAAAATTACTTTTTTGACTTTAAAAAAATAAAAAAATTTTAATAAGTTTAATTTCTTATATCTTATGAACTGTATTCTATGTCAATTAAATTATATAATATTCATGAAGTCAGTGTATTGCCCTTATAATATATTTTAAAATAAAATAAAATACAAAACCCAGCATTTTAATACAAAAATAGCGTATTTTTGAATACGGTAGCCATTTGCGCATAGAAGATATGTCGTCAGGACAAATTTTTTTTTTAAATTTTATAATACATGACATAAGCTTTAATTTGACATATGTTTAAAAGACGCAGTATTTTCGGAACATTTTCAAAAGTTCAGTTGAAAAAGTTCTCTTTTAGCTTCGATGCGAAGCTGAGAAGGTATTGGTTTTACTAAGATGTGTTTTTTTTTTTTTTTTTTGTGTTTGTTACCACTTTTTCTCAGCTCTCACTGAACCGATTTCTTTCAATGATACGTCAAAAGATCACAAATCGTATCTAGTCGAAGACATTACCCTCAAAAATTGAAAAAAATTCCCTCGTTTCCCGTAAATGGGGGAAACATCCGAAAAAATTACAAATTTAAAAATGGCTAATTTTCGAAATTTTTTTACTAAAAACTGCCATAACTTTTTTAAAAATAAACATATCAATATAATTTTTTTTTATAGATGCATGATGTCATTACCTATCATTTGGTATAATTTTTTTTTATATCTGACACTTAACCTGCCCACAGGGGGGGATTTAAAATGAAAACTTTTTTACAAAAAATTAATTTTTTCAACTTAACTTTTGAAAGTGTTCCGGAAGGTCTGACACTTTTATATATATCTTAAATTAAAGCTAATGTAATATACTTTATCATGAAAAAAAAAAAATTTCGGACTTTATCTTATCTTTATGGTGAAAATGGCTACCGAATGCTATTTTTGTGTGAAAATGTTCAATTTTGTATTTTACATTTTTAACTTTATAATGCTATAACTTATTGAAAAATGTATGGATCAATATAATTTTTTTATGGGAAATACTTTTTTTTAATAANCATTATAAAATTTTTAAAATAACTGAATGGCAATTGATATACTAGTTTTTGTTAATTTTTCTGATCATATTAATCAAATATACAGTTTAATATAAGTCAATGTACTGCATGATATTAATTAAGGTTGGTTAAATAAAATGAAAATTAATTTTTAGATATGTTACAGGCATTGACAGGTCGATTGCTAAGAAAACATTAATGATGATCCACTTAACAACTTTAAACAAAACTGCCGTTTTCACGGCAAACTGTCTAATAACTTTCATTTTTATTATTTCAGTACACATTAAATTATAACGTAATAACATATTACTAGATAATATATATTTAATCTAACTGTCATTGACTACTAAGCGCAAGATTAGCTACATCAATTTACAACTTATTGTCATAGAATAATTGTTTATTTTTTATTCCGCGTTCTGATTTANTTTTTGTCATAGACTAATTGTTTATTTTTTATTCCGCGTATAGAAACCTGATTCTGATTTTTACGTTCTGTACAGTTGGACTAGTAGACAAGGTATAATAAGTATTATTTAAATACATGAATATTTTTATATTGTATAATAACTATAAAATAGTCCCGTTATCACAATTTTTATTTTTTATAAGTTATTATGCATTGTCTAGTTAAAAGTAAGATTGCAAATTGTAAATTTGTAGAATTTTTAACAACGTTTTTATTCTATAAATTAGGTTAACTTAAATTAATTTTGATTGTAAAATAAATTAAAACACATAAAAAATTTATATATTCATTTCTATTCAATCGCAATGCATAATCATAAGTCTAACTTTGTAACCTAACATTAACATATAAATTTACCCTATGAAATGTAAATAAAAGCAAAAATCTTGTAGTGACAACGAACTTCGAGAACAACAGAATAAGTCGTAGGAGGCAATTATAATATATACTATGAATATCACCACTATCAATTAAAACGAATACCACAACTAATTACGTAAGAAAACAACAATTTAAGAACGCATGAAGATACAAGATTACAAGAAGTTTCGTGAACACGACAAGGTTCCCACCCCTAATTTCAAAGAGAACCATAACTTAAAATCTTTTTTAGCATTTTTTTTTTTCTTCTTTCTTTTCTCTTTTTCTTAATATTTTGACCGTTTATAAGGTTCAGAATTGAACCTTTAATAGGGGAGAGGGTAATGTAAGAAAATTTATTACTATGTTCTTACCACTTATATTACACACGTTTTATTTCTATTTATTTAATTCGTAATACATATTAATTAGCATAGAGGGAGATGCTGATGTAACAATTCTACTCGTCTGTAGCCCGGAGCTACTGACGTCGAACTAACAAAGGGCAGTTGTGTTTGAGTGGCCGTTATAGACATAGTTTTCAATATTATTACTTTCATCTTATTTATAACTTATTTTATTCAACGACCCGTCTATCGCCAATTGTCATCATAGCCAACCAACTCCATCTCACTTGGATATACCTACTGACCAACTGTACTAGGATTCAGGTCAGACGTATTGTTCATTACATATAACTTATATTTACTGAATATCTAAAATATAACTTTACTTTGTCGTTGACATAAAACAATG